GATATGTCGGGGTAGCCCAAATGTTGTTGAGATATATTTGTACGCATGCGGTAAATATTTTTTTTAACGAAGATCAAGTTACCTTGTGTAAATATATAAATAACCTTCCCTAGTTTGTTGGGAGGGGATGGATCTCATTCATTCCGAACTCACTTAAAAATGATCCCTCTGACACTCTCTTTAATTAAAATTCTTCTCTCTCGATTTGATTTCTCAATCTTTAACCCCGAGATCGTAATATTCTTTGTCATGTGTTCTTTTCTTGGAAGTTTCCATAAAAGTATAAAACAATGGAAAAAGTAAAGCCAAAGGATTTTAGTGGATGAATGAAGTGTTCTCTTAATATGAAATACGATTTCGCAGTTAACCGCTTACCGTTATTGAGAAATGAAACAAACAAATTTTTTTTGTAGACAATGGAGTTTATATGAACAACACAATGTTGGGACTTGTAAAAAAACACAATGTTGGGACAGCAAACCACGCATTAATTAATTAGTATGGTATTGTCGACTATATGGGTCAAGCCCTCGAAGACTTATTTCTGAACACCTCCAAGAGATCTCATACTAATTGATTGGATAAAAATGGTTAGGAATACACCACCGAATGTACCCTATATAATTGTACTCCAATGCCTCTCCACCACACAAGTCTAGTGTTGATAAAAAAATTAATAAGTGGATAAATAATGTATGGTGAGAATTGATGGTACAAATGAGGTGCACTAAATTAAATGACGTACTTCTAGCATTACTTTTGTTGGATTAAACCATCCATACTTTATTTAAAAAGGCATGAAGTCAATATTGCGTTTTCCCGCCCAAAACTATGGTCATTACATATGGTAATGTGAAGTTAAAATGGTAAGTGTCCGAAATTATAGTAATATAAAATTTACGTATTATAAGTATAATTATTATATTATATTTATAATAATTAACTGTCATAATTATTTAAATTTGCCATTTTTAAAGTAAGGAAATAAAAATATGGAAATTACCATTTTTAAAATTTTTCTCCTTTAATGATAAAAATTTAAAAATATTATATTTAATAAGACTGATTATAATTTAAAATGGTAGTAATGTAGACCGAAGTAATTACGAATTAAATAAAAAAGGTAATTTCCGGATTTTTATTTCCTTACTTAAAAAATGGTAATTTCTGCCTTAATTTTTTTCCATTAATGATAAAAATTGAAAAGTGTTATACTCCCTCCGTCCCAAAAAGATTGGGACATTTTGACTAAAGTGGTAAAATAATGAGGGATAATTTTGTGTTGACTTTTCAAAAATACCCTTGATGTGATGGGTAAAAGTAGGATGTGATGAGTAGATTATTAGGAAAAAGGTATGATGTGATAGGTAGGATATGAAAAGGTAAGGGGTAAAAGTGGTTTTTTAATAGAAAAGGGACGGACTTTAAGGGAAGCAAATTTTTCGAAACAGGACAGATTTTTTGGGATGGAGAGAGTAATTAAAAATACCGATTATTATAAAAAATGGTAATAATGTAGACCGACGTAATTACGAATTAAATCAAAAAGGTAATTCATTAAGACTAATTATTATTAATAGGCAAAAATTATTTATAAAAAATATTTATAAACTTTAATACACGCCAATCAATGCTATTAAAAACGTGTGTATGATTATTCTTACCAAAATTATATAATTATATGATTATCGTGAGACTAAGTTATATAAAAAACGTGTGTATGATTATAGTATAATACAATTATGGTAAGAAGAAATATACACACAGTTTTGCAAAAAAAATTAATATGGTAAAACCCTTTAAATATATATATTTATATTTATATTTATGTTTAATAGCAAGAAAGGTAATAACCAAAAAATGTAATAATTATTACTCCGTGCAATTATTACCTATATAAATGATAAGTGTCCGAATTATAGTGTCCATTTTTAACCCGTGCACGAAGTATGTCCATTACATATGCCAATTGTGAAGTTAAAATGGTAAGTGTCCAAAATTATAGTAATATAAAATGGTAATTGTGAAGTTAATATTATTTTTTTATAATAATTAACTGTCATTTTTAAAGTGACTGAAATTATACTAGCAAGAAAGGTAAGTTATAAAATTGGAAAGCGTAAGTTATTATTAAAATTAGAATCTTACGTGTGATTTTAATTATTGTAATTTTTATTAAAATTGTATGTTACGTGTGATTATCGTGTCAAATTAATTATAGTAATATGTGCGATTACCATGTCAAATTAATTATAGTAATTAAATGTTAATTACTATGTCAAATTAATTATAGTAATTTGAATTATAGTAATTTTAATTAAAATTGTGTATTAAGCTATTAATGAAATCTAATATTACGTGTGACTACATAATTGTATATTAATTACACTATCAAGTTAATTATAGTAATTTTAATTATAGTAATTTTATAATGACTATATTTTAATTATAGTGGCTATATTTTATGATGTCTATATTTTACTATATTTTAATTATAGTAATTTTAATTAAAAAGGTAATAATTAACCAATGTATTAATTATATAATCGTGTGACTAGAGAATTGTATACTCCGTATTAATTACCGTGTCATTTTAATTATAGTAATTTTAATTATAGTAATTTTAAATATAATAATTTAAATAATTTAAATAAAGTAATAGTATTTGTTAAGTATTTAAAGATGGTAAGAAATTAAAGTGTCCGAAATTACAGTAATATAAAATGGAATATAACTACTGTAAGAATTAAATATCCTTTAAATATATATATTTACGTTTAATAGCGAGAAAGGTAATAACCAAGAAAGGTAATAATTTATTGTCATTTTTAAAGTGTCCGAAATTATACTAGCAAGAAAGGTAATAATAAAAAAAGGTAATAATTGATCACGGTATTAATTATATAACCGTGTGACTACATAATTATATATTAATTACCGTGTCAAATTAATTATAGTAATTTTAATTATAGTAATTTTATAATAGTAATTTTATAATGGCTATATTTTAATTATAGAGGCTATATTTTATTATGACTATATTTTACTATATTTTAATTATAGTAATTTTAATAAAAAAGGTAATAATTAACGAAGGTATTAATTATATAACAGTGTGACTAGATAATTGTATACTCCGTATTAATTACCGTGTCAATTTAATTATAGTAATTTTAATTATAGTAATTTTAAATATAACAAATTAAATAATTTAAATATAGTAATAGTATTTTAAATTCATTATAGCACTTTGAAAAATGAATAATCTTTTTAAATCCGTATGCAAAAATCATATTATAAATATATCGATTTACAAAGCTTTCATAGCCATTACATTCATGATGAAGCTACGAGCAGTTAATGATGAAGCTACGAGCAGTTTGGGTTTATCGCAGGTTTTCGTAACAATAATCCAACATGTTTTAGTAATGGACAATTCTATGTTGCAGTTTTAAGAGTAACTAATTGTAGTGGTTGAAGATTCTTATATGCAAGGAAGACAATATTCCCACAAATTGTACAAATAAGTAGTCTATAAAGAAGTCTTTCGAAATTTGTAAAGCAATGATGTTTTGTAACTTAAAATAATATAATCTCTATATTCTATTGCATCTCATTTTTTATCATTGAAAAGTGATTTGAATTTAATAACATAAAAATGACCCGTGCAACGCACGGATGTGATACTAGTTATATTTTGGTTCAATCTATTCTAAGCATTTGGTGTAAAATCGACTTTGTATCATAATAAACCTCTCCTCAGATCGAGACCAAACAATCTTTTGACCTCCCATGAAACCAAGATTACAGAATCTGGGTTAATTTTGCCACGATGTCATCTTATTATTCTAATATCATAGAATAACAGTATTACTCCGTACTTGTTACTCTCTTAAAGACATACTCTTAGGGGGTGTATTCAATTGGGATTTTATTGGATTTTTTTTGAATTTAAAAAGTTAATGGATTTGAAAAAATTGTAGAATTCATGTAGAGTTTGGTTGATTTTTTGTAATATCCATGTAGAGTTTGAGAATTTTATAGAGTCCATGTAGAGTTTGTAAAATATGTGTGTAGAATTTTTGCAAAAATAACTTCAAGGACATAATGAGTAGACAAAGGTGGACAGATCACCTTCTCCGCACAAATCACAAAGTTTGTAAACCAAAAAATAGCAGAGAACGGAGGACAGAAAACGAACGAACAGAGCAGCGGATCGGGCCAAGGACGTCATCCGGACAGAGTTAGACAGATCAGCGGCCGACGATCGGAGCAACGATCGGATAGACGAGTCACGATCGTACTCGCTATCGGAAGATGAACAGTCAGATGATCTGGATCCAGATCCGGGAGACTAGCCAGACGAACAGTGGAAGTAAAAACTATGTGTATGTGCGAAAATGGAAGTCCATACAAATCTGGAGGTGTGAGGAGAGATTTTGTAGGAGTGAAATGTAAGCATTTTTTGAGAGAAAATCCAATAAAATCCATAGAGTTTTAAAACTCATAGATTTTTGAATATCTCAAAATTTTTAAAGACTTTTGAAAATCTAAATTGAATACTTCAATATTTTTAAAGACTTTGAAAAATCCTTATTGAATACCTCAAGATTGTTAAAGATTTTTAAAAATCATACATTCAGATTTTAAAAATCCAAAAAAATCCAACAGACTCTCAATTCAATACACCCCCTTAGACTATTAAGCATCATTATGCTACCTTATCAAAATATATCACCATTGTGCTATGTTGAGTTTATTTTGATAAAAACTACTCTACGTTAATGTTGAGACTATAGATTAATGAGTTTTTGTTTCACTAAAATAATATTTGTTGTGTTTATCAATTCGTTTCTGTGTTTAAATTATGACTTCTAGAGTCTAAAATAGACTCCAAAAGTACTTTTAAACAATAAAACTTCTATTTTTTTCAACAATCTACCACACTCTCAAACAGAGAGTCTATACTCAACTAGATTGAACTATGAATCGAACCTGTCGAGACCGTCCAAAAGACCGAACTAGCGAACTAGTCTTCCAAATGACCGGTCGAATCCACGGTACGGGTGATTCTCGAATTGGAATCAGCCCGGACCAGAATGTCCACCCACCGTCCGACGCGACTCTTCATCTTCTTCTCAGCCCATCTTGTCAGATCCCTGACAAAGGCACCCCCCACCATTTCTCTGCCATGCTAATTAAGATGAAAAAGATGGGATTTTCACGTGTCCCCCATAACCTTGTTGGGTTTGTTCTTCATTACTTATTCCAGGTATGGCCTCCCAATTCCACTCCCTAAATATCGAAAGAAAAAGAATCTAGGTAATAAAAATGGTTTTTTTTTTGTATTTCTTGATCTTATCATTTAGATTTTCTCTCTGTAAATATATTATTTGACATAAAAAATGATTTATCATGGTACAACTGGAGCCCAAATCAAGATCAAGCTGCCAAATTCACCATACCTTTTTACATTATCTTGGCCTAGTCATGTGTGCAGTGTTGTGCATTGGGATTTGTTTGATTTGATGTGAGAAGAAAACAAATAAATAATTAAATGCATAAATAAATAAATATTGTTCTCCCTCTGTGTTGGAGGAGCAGTGGTGCGTGGGACCCCCTGGAAGGATCAGATGGAGGCTCTGATCATATGCATTTGGTGGAGTGAGATCTGAGCTTTTTCCATTAAGGGCTTGTTTGGGCAGTCCTTAAATTTATTGGCTCATGATTCTATTGTAGTTGTGAAGGATTTCTTCTAAAAGCTCAACACTTTCTCTGGGATCTTAAGATTCTTGGCAGTGTTGAAGAAACAGGTCAGCCAGCCTTTCTCAGTCTCACTTCTTTTTTCAATAATTTTATAGTGAACATATATTTGTGCTCAAGATGTAGTTTTGTTTCAAGATGTTGTTTTGTTTCAAGATGCATTTTAAACTTACATTTATGTGTTTTTTTATTCAGATTTTAGTTGCAATGTCATCTTCACCACCAAGTCAGTGTTCTAGCAACACAGCAAGATCGAAGCACAGGGCCAGGATCATTGCACAGACGTCCATAGATGCAAAGCTTCATGCAGAGTTTGAGGAGTCTGGTGATTCCTTTGATTACTCGAGCTTAATCCGGGTCACAAGTGTGAATAGCAAAGAGCAGAAACCAAGGCCTGACAATGTAACCACATCATATCTCCATCAAATCCAAAAGGCCAAATTCATCCAGCCGTTCGGCTGCTTGTTAGCCCTGGATGAAAAAACCTTCAGAGTCATAGCATTCAGCGAGAACGCCCCTGACATGCTAACTGTGGTCAACCATGCCGTTCCAAGCATGGGGGATCATCCGGTTCTCGGTATTGGAACCGAAATTAGAACCATTTTAACCGGTCCGAGTGCAACAGCTTTGCAGAAGGCCTTTGGATTTGGAGAGGTTTCTTTGTTGAATCCCATCCTAGTTCACTGCAAAACCTCTGGGAAGCCATTTTATGCCATTGTTCATAGGGTAACTGGTGGCCTAATAGTTGACTTTGAGCCTGTGAAACCATGTGAAGCACCCATGACTGCTGCAGGAGCTTTGCAATCATATAAGCTTGCAGCAAGAGCCATTGCACGCTTACAATCATTGCCGAGTGGCAACATGGAGAGGTTGTGTGATACTATGGTCCAAGAAGTGTTTGAACTGACGGGTTATGATAGGGTGATGGCTTATAAGTTTCATGATGATGATCATGGTGAAGTTGTTTCTGAGACAACCAAACCTGGCCTTGACCCTTATCTGGGCTTGCATTATCCAGCAACCGATATCCCTCAAGCTGCACGGTTTTTGTTCATGAAGAATAAGGTCAGAATGATCTGTGATTGCCAAGCAAAACATGTGAAAGTAGTTCAAGACGAGAAGCTTCCGTTTGATTTAACACTTTGTGGGTCCACACTTAGGGCACCCCACACTTGTCATTTACAGTACATGGTGAACATGAAGTCGATAGCGTCACTTGTAATGGCAGTAGTGATAAATGATGGGGATGAGGAAGGGGATAGTAAGAGGAAAAGGTTGTGGGGTTTAGTAGTGTGTCACAACACAACTCCACGGTTTGTTCCTTTTCCACTTAGGTATGCTTGCGAGTTTCTTGCACAGGTGTTTGCCATTCATGTGAACAAGGAAATAGAATTGGAAAACCAGATTGTTGAGAAGAACATTCTGCGAACCCAAACGCTCCTTTGTGACATGTTGCTTAGGGATGCTGCTTTAGGGGTTGTGTCTCAGAGTCCCAACATGATGGATCTTGTCAAGTGCGACGGTGCTGTTTTTCTGTATAAGAATAAGATACATAGATTGGGAACCACCCCATCCGATTTCCAATTACACGATTTAGTCTCTTGGCTTTCGGAGCACCATATGGATTCCACTGGTTTGAGCACAGACAGCTTGTATGATGCTGGTTTCTCAGGGGCAGTTTCTCTTGGGGATGCAATATGTGGGATGGCTTCTGTGAGAATATCTGAAAAGGATTGGCTTTTCTGGTTCCGGTCCCACACCGCGTCCGAAATCCGTTGGGGAGGTGCAAAACATGAAAGGAGTGAGGAGGATGATGGTAGAAAAATGCATCCAAGGTCATCGTTTAAAGCCTTTCTTGAAGTTGTTAGGACAAGGAGTTTGCCTTGGAAGGACTACGAGATGGATGGCATTCATTCTCTGCAGCTAATAATGAGAAATGCCTTCTTCAAGGAGGAAGAGGAGGTGGAGGGTTCAAATGGAATTGCTATCCAAACGAAACTGAATGACCTCAGGGTTGAGGGGGGCATGGGGGAACTTGAAGCCGTGACGAGTGAGATGGTTCGCCTGATTGAGACGGCCTCTGTCCCAATATTGGCTGTCGGTGTTGATGGGCTGGTGAATGGGTGGAATCAGAAGATTGCGGATTTGACCGGTCTAACCGTTGACGAAGCCATTGGGAAGAAATTGCTTACACTTGTGGAAGACTCTTCAGTTCAAACTGTGAAAAAGATGCTGAGTTTGGCATTGCAGGGTATGTGCATGCTTAAGTCTTAGATAGAAAAAGTCATCCCAAATGGGACTAAAAGATGGAACATATACACAAGTAGAACATTTTTTAAATTTTTACACAGAAAGTTCTTATATGGTCCTATTACGGTGCATCTATGATTTTGAATTCCATTTTTACTCCTCTTCTCCATGATAATCGCTGAAGCATTTACTGCCTTCGGGACTAGGCATGAATGTTGGATTTTCAGTGTATACTACCTACGTGACTAGGCAATACTGCTGGTTTTCAGTGCATACTGCATTCACAATTGACAGTAATGCTGGTTTTCAGTGTACTGTCTTCGTGACTGGGTAGTAATGCTGGTTTTCAGTAAGGGCAGTATAGTCTTTTTAGTCCAATGCATGAATTAGGTCCTATTTACATAAAACACTATTGTTTTAGTCCTATCTATGTAATTTTCTCTAAATATCCTTGCGATGCATTTTACGCATTTTTGTAGAAGAGACGAAGCGAGTTCGTTCTGGACCTTCTCTTAATTTTGCGTTTTTTTGTTTTTTTTACCAGGGAAAGAAGAAAAGAATGTGCAGTTTGAGATAAAAACGCATGGGGCAAGATCAGAATCTGGCCCGATCAGCCTAGTCGTGAACGCTTGTGCCAGCAGGGATGTTCAAGAAACTGTGGTGGGTGTCTGTTTCATAGCACAGGATATAACAGGGCAAAAGACCGTTATGGACAAGTTCACAAGAATCGAAGGAGATTACACTTCCATTATCCAAAACCCCAATCCTTTGATCCCCCCTATATTTGGAACCGACGAGTTCGGTTGGTGCTCCGAATGGAATTCAGCAATGACTAAGCTCTCAGGGTGGCGTCGCGATGAGGTCATTGACAAGATGGTTTTGGGCGAGGTTTTCGGGACCCACAATGCATGTTGTAGACTCAAGAACCAAGAGGCTTTTGTGACACTCAGTGTTGTGCTGAACAATGCTATAACTGGTCAGGAGTCTGATAAGACCGCGTTTGGTTTCTTCACAAGGAATGGGAAACATGTGGAGTGCTTACTCTCAGTGACCAAAAGATTGGACAGAGAGGGTTCTTCTGTCACAGGGCTGTTCTGTTTCCTGCAGTTGGCAAGCCAAGAACTGCAACAAGCCCTTCACTTTCAAAGAATCTCAGAGCAAACTGCGACAAAGAGGTTGAGAGTGTTGGCATACTTGAGAAAACAGGTCAAAAATCCTCTTTCTGGGATCATGTTCTCTGGAAAGATGATGCTTGAAGGGACGACCGGTTTGGGAAAAGACCAGATGAAGATATTGCATATTAGTGATCAGTGTCAGCAGCAGCTCGGTAAAGTTCTTGATGACACGGATCTTGATCGCATCATCCAAGGGTATGATGAGATTAATCACACGAAAGTAGGGAAACTGAATTAGCATAATCGTAGGGAAATATTTCTGAAATGAAAAGTGTTTGGCAACATGCAATACTTTCTGGGTACATTGAAAAATGAACGAATGTGGACATACAGTATGTCTACGTTCATTCATTTTTCAATGTATCAAGAAAGTCATAATAGACACTTAATATGAAACGGAGGGAGCATATTCTAACAATAATAAGCACATGAAATGCAGGTATTTGGATCTAGAGATGGTTGAGTTCAAACTTGATCAAGTGTTGGTTGCTTCAATCAGTCAAGTGATGGCAAAGAGCAATGGGAAATGTTTGAGGATAACTAATGACATGTGTGAGAGTGTTGTACATGAAACATTGTATGGAGACTCTCTAAGGCTTCAACAAATCCTTGCCGAATTTTTGTCAGTAGCCGTGGATTACACCCCGAGGGGAGGCCAGCTTGATCTTTCATCTGCATTAACCAAAGATCTTTTGGGAGAATCCGTTCGTCTTGCCCGTTTGGAATTACGGTACGATATGACAATAACAATGCTATTAAGCTTTACATGAGGAAAAATTCATGGCAATATTACTAAAAGAAAACTTTATGGTGTGGTTTTCGCGGAGTTTAACAAAAGCGTATACTCCGTAAGAGTTTAAAAAAAAGGGTAATTTACCTAAATAGGACTAAAACATAATGACTTTCTCAATATAGGACCATATGTTTTTATTTCCTAATGTAGGATCATTGGTCATTATCTATTAGTCATTATTCATCTAAATGTCCAGCCTCACTTGGACTTAATTCTTCTCAGTAGACATTATTAAGTCCTATTTAGGGAATAAAAAAGTTTAAGTCCTACATTGGGAAATGACTTATGTTTTAGTGCTATTCAGTGCAAATTTTACTTTTTAAAAAATGTGTTGTTGAAATTCAGAGTGAGACACAGCGGGAGGGGGGTGCCGGAAGAGCTGTTGGCCCAAATGTTTGAAAGCAATGCTGATGTGTCAGAGGAGGGAATTGGGCTTCTTGTAAGCAGAAAACTGGCGAAGCTCATGAATGGGGACGTTCAATACCTCAGGGAGGCCGCCGCCGCCGCCGGGCATTCCACTTTCATCATATCCCTCCAACTTGGAGTTGCTGATAAGCTAAACCCCAATATTGTATGAAGCTATATGATTGATTTTAGGCATCAAAGATCTTAGACCTAGTTTGGTAGTAATAGTAGTTTGTAATAACATGTAGTGTGATTATGTGATGCCAAAAATCACAAATGTTGTTCTATAAATGCAATGCTACTAATAAAATATGCTCTGCCTTGTACTCCTTCGGTCTCATTTTATAGCATCTGTTTTGATTTTTGTTGGAAACATCTCTAATTTCGAGTAAGGGTAAGGTCTGTGTACACATACCACCCTCCCCAGATCTTATTCTTGTGTCATCTAATTGGGTTTAAATTATGATTTTTGTTTTTTGTTTTTGAGTGAATTTGTTTTTTACTTTCTTCGTTCTAGTATATTCGCTTACTTTAATTCCTTTGAGTAGATGAACTTTGAATTTTAATTACTCTATTTGTATTTTATAATTCGGTTTACGAGGTTTTTAGGACGGAGGTAAATATTTTCAATAAGACAAATCTAATGAAATAATTATTTTATGAATATACACTATTGTTTTTATTTATTTGAAATCTAAAGTTTATCTAGTTTGAAAAGAAAAAATTAAATATATTAAGAATGTAGTATTTAATTTATTTGACAATTGGGTGGGATTAAAATTAAAAAATTAGATCAAAAGTTCTACGAAATAATAGGTGACATAAATCTATTACTACCTCCGTTTTGAAAAAAAAATTATGTGTTGACTTGGCATGCTTTTTTAGGAATACAAAAAAGGTATCAAATTTTCAAAAATGCCCATACTCTAATTTCTGGGTTAATTAATTAGGGTAGGTGTGTGTTAAAGTGGATGAGTGTTATTGACATTTATTCTTAAAAAATAAGCTAAAAGGGAAGAATATTTCTGGATAGACCGAAAAGGAAAGTGAAAAGAATATTTTCGGACGAAATGAATATTTTATTAAATGACTAACAAAAATAAATACTGAAGTCTGATTCTTTAAATAGTAAACAAGCACTAAGAAATGAGATGGAGGGAGCGCTATTTTAACATTATTGTTTTGGATAACTTCTTAATGATGAATTAATTTTGATTATACTAAAACTAAATATTGCCATGAAATTATTTTTCAAAATGTTAAAAATAAGTGTTAAAGTTGTTACCACCAAAGGAGTTCTTATATACTCCCTTTGTCTGAGTGTATTCGTTGGTTTGATTTTTTAAGTCAAACTGGACAAAGTTTAGTTTTCAATTAATCTCAATGAGTATTGCATTAATAAAAAGAAATAATTTTTTGAAAGATTTCAAATTCATAAATCTAATGAAATCATTTTTACACTAATATGGAGTACATTATATTTTTTATTTAGTGAGGTTCCAAAGTTTATTCAATTTGATTTTTAAAAAGTCAAAATAGGCAGTGGCAGATCCAGGATTAAATTGACCGGGGGCAATAACAAGGTAGGGATCCAGGACTTGCGCCCCCCAATTTTTAACTATAATGAAAAATTTATACGAAACAAATTTAAAATAAGTAAACAAAAATATTTCAAAAATAAATAAATAAATCAAAATATTTCAAAAGTTATGGACAGTGGGAGTATATCATATTTAATACGTATCCCATAACAATTATTAGAGCATGAACAATGGCAAGACATACATTGGAATGCCACACGCTGACATGACACGATTCAACCATTTTTTTTATATATATTTATTATTTAAACTGTCGGTTACAAGCAGGGGGCCCGAGGCCCATTAACCTCGTGACCGCCCCGGGCCCTGTTAAACCCCCGAGGCAAATAGTCCACTATAAGAAGCCTAATGAAAGCACAATCTAAAGCCCAGCCTCATAAATCTGCAAACACTTCCCATGGGGTCACCCATCATTTCTGCTACTCCATGGTCAGCACGCTTAACTCCCTTAAAATTTCCCCAAAGTTGCCCCTTTCTGAGGATCGAACCCGGGTGGTGTGGTTCGCCAATCAATCCTGTGACCATCTCTACAGGGGGGACAAGTCACAGAGTGGCATGACATTATCCTGCAGTGGCAAGTCACTTTTTTTGTGTTACTTTACATTTTTTATATATTTTTGACATTTTTTTATAAACAAAAAATGAAAGAATAATGAAATATATTGTGTGGACTAAATTACCAGGCATTCAAGAACTCTTATCGTTGATCATCTTTTATCATTTTGTCAAACAACTTGTGTGCACTAGGACAAAATTTATTTCTATTGAATTAGGGCAAAGAAAAGGGGCAAATTTCAGAGCAATAAACAAGAGAGAGGGTACCTGAGAGTGAGGAGGTGGCTGGCAATGGTGACCTGACTTCCAAAGAAGGATGACGCTGGTGATTTCTGCAGAGGACAGAGACTCCTATTTGCCTCGCATTCGCCTCGCAGATCGAAGTGACTCGCGGCATGTCACGCGACCCATCCAATTTTTGTCACTCCCATTGTGTCTCTTGGATCTCCAGGGATGGCAGAGCGTGGCAAGGCAAATCCTTGCCGCTGCCAATGCTCTTAGAGATGCTTGGAAACATAATACTCTTGTTTAATTTGTACAAGTACTTTAACTTTACACCCTATTTAAATAATTTTACTTTTGTTTTGAAATGATTTTTTTTACTAGGAGCAACACATTCTTTTACTGTGAGAAATATTTAATTTACTAGATTTTTTAAAAATGTTTACATTACATATTTAAAAAATTAAAAATGGTTCGGTGGCAAATGTCACTGGTACCTGCTATGTAGATCCATATGTGAAATAGACGAATACACTAGAACGAGGATAGTATGTGCTAAACTAAGTGGATTATTATGACAAAACCATAATCTATACTTGCTGGTAAAAGGAAGGCTTCAAATTGCTCTACATTCAACTATGTATTACCTAGGCTGAAAATAATATTTTTAATTAATGTTAGACTTCTAAATAACTTTTAGATGTTTGAATTGATTTTGAAAATGTTAAAACTAAATATTGTTATTAGATGATATTTGAAGTTACACTGTTTTCAAACCGATCCAACCTTTATATACGCTTTAGCAAAAAATGACCCTTTTAAGAGTAAATAATTCTTACGTAGGGTGCTCCTAAGGTCCATATTAATTTTACGAACCTTAGTGTATTGATATAATTAAAGAATTGGGCTTTTTTACAAAAAAAGATCTACTTGCCAACAAGTTGTTTTTCCGTACTCTTAATGTCCACATGTAAAATGTGGATCTTCTCACACTTTTCATGAGCTGATAAGTGGGTCTTTTTTTTTCTAAAGGACCAATTCATTTACGATATCAATGCACTTATCAAAGCACTAAGGTTCATAAGATGAACACGGAACTTAGGATAATGGAAGTCTTTTCCCTCGCCAACCGATAATAGTGTGAGAAAATTTAGATTTTACATATCTCCCTCCATATCATGTTATTGCTGAGACTTGATTGAAAATATTTTTAGTCCAAATTATTTTGAAAAATTTAAAATAAAATTTACTCTCTCCGTCCCTCTTGGTTTTTCCAACTTTAACTTACACGATCTCAAATATAATACTTTGACAATTAATATCTTTATTTATATATACATATATAATATAGAAATATGATATTCAAAGCTATATTTTAAGATAAACTTATCGATATTAAACTGTATTTCTTTCATAAATTATGGTCAAAATTTTAAAAAGTTAGTCGAGCAAGTTAAAATAAAAAACTAAAGGTGACGGAATGAGTATATATTAACATTGTATTCAAAAGTCAAAACTCTATAAAACATGATGTAATATCACCACAAATGTTATTTAAATAAATGATTTACGCAAATAAAATATAGATATACTCCCTATGAAATAATTTCATCTTATATTGAGAATTGAGATATATATTTTGTGAGATGAAGAGATTAAAATCCAAGGTTGACCTGTTCAAAGCGAATCATATGACTTATGACTTATGAGAGATTATTGTTATTATTAAAGAATATCCAAATATTCCTAATGCACCATTATTCAACTTGACTTGTGATATTCTTAATTGATACCAAAAGTCTACTTAGCGACGCGGTTTTATTGCCAGATCAAACGAGCTAAAGTTCAAGTATAGTAAGGTCTTATTTCACATCATCCTTAAGTACTTCGTATAAGCGTTTTTAGATACTCACTTCCCAGAGTATTTGTCCACTTTTATTTTTATATGTCATCTAATGCATTTTTTAATTCATTTTATCTTGTAATTTATATATTAAAAAATTATAGAAATTATATATTATTAATCTATATGTTAAGACAAATCAAACAAGATCACACATGACTATATTTAGACTTACACATTGAGAGAATTCGATGATTCAAAGTGCTTAAATGAACATTTTCAAAAGTAAAAAGTGGACAAAAACTGTTGGACGGAGGAAGTACTATCTAATGGTAACTTTTAATGTTAGTATTTTCAGAATTAATTCACATTTTAAAATTTTATCCAAAATGCTAAGGCTAATCGAGAACACTTATTCCAAAATAAAGTTTGATTTCAAAGATAGGTTTTTTTGTTGTTTTCAGATATAAATTTCTTGGTCAAAATGTTAAATTTGTGGCATGGAAAGGTAATTAGGAAGAAATTAAAGATATTGGATGGATCCCATCTCACCCAGTTTGTAATCTAAATTGGGAGTTACGAGGCATAATTTCTCGCTTTTTAAAATTATTTTATTTACAAGCCGATAAATCAATAAAAATTAAAAATTACATACTAAAAGACTAGAGTAAATTCTATAATTGGTACTTTATAACAACGTGGTTTCCCTATTTAGTCTTCTATTATCAAATATTACCGATGTGGTCCTTCTTTTATGGGTACCTTTCCACAAATAGTCCTTTTTTTGATCTTCTATCATGTTGGTGTTAATTTGAGGGCTAAAAGTATAATTTCACAATGATAATATATCTCTTTTGTCATACACAATTCCAAAGGCTCTTCCGTTTGCGTCGTTTGTGAATTCCAGCCGCTTTTTACGACAACTATAGTCTACAAATGTGATCTTTCGTCAGAATCCTAGCCCACAATCATAGTTATTATTTTTGTGTTATCCGCTTAACCAATATCAGAACACGTCACTAGACATAATGTTGACGTCAAAATATATTTTTAGCCTTTAAATTAACACCAACACGGCAGAAGATCAAAAAAGGACCATTTA